CCAGCTGAACCCGAGGAAGAACTTCTTCCCTCTGAGGGTGACAGAGCCCTGGCCCAGGCTGCCCAGAGGGGCTGTGGAGTCTCCTTCTCTGGAGATATTCCAGCCCCGCCTGGCCACGGTGCTGTGCCCCCTGCTCTGGGTGACCCTGCTTGGGCAGGGGGTTGGGCTGGGTGACCCACAGAGGTCCCTTCCAACCCCGACCGTTCTGTGATTCTGTGATTCTCTGATTCTCTGATCCTGCGATTTGCCCCGAGGTCCCGAGCCCGCCGTGACACAGCCCTGCAAAGTCCAACCACCCCGACTCCTCTCTGCCACCCGAAATCACGTCTCCGGGTGGGTTTCCGAGCGCAGCATTAGGAGCACGGCCACGCGCCGCGGCATGCATCACCGCCCACAACGCTTCGGCAACGAAACCACATCCTCAGTACTTAGCAAAAATTAATCAGTTTGATGGCCGTGAGAGGAGGAGGAAGGGCGCAGGCAGGGAAACGCAGCGTCTAACACTTGACATAGCTACAAGGGCAGAAGATTGGTCCTGGCCACGCGTGTTCTGCCTTTTTGGCCGGGTTTTTCCCGGCACGCTCTCGCAGTAAACTGCTAAGAACAAAGACGGGTGAAGTCTCTTCTCGGCGGTGATTTGGCGTCGCGCTAGATAAGCCAGCGATACAGAGCAAAGCTCAAGCCGTAATATTTTTAAGCAGTGCTTGTCCTAGTTAATGTTCAGCCCCGCTGTGCAATGTCAAGAAAACTAATGATTTGGCGTCGCGCTAGATAAGCCAGCGATACAGAGCAAAGCTCAAGCCGTAATATTTTTAAGCAGTGCTTGTCCTAGTTAATGTTCAGCCCCGCTGTGCAATGTCAAGAAAACTAATGAACAGGGAAGCGGCAGCGAGCAGGAACCTGGGCGTATTCACCCGCTACCAAGCTCCTTCCAGAGGCCGGGCACGACGTGAATGAAATCTAAAAGCGGCCGTCCTGGTTCATTGGGAAGCCCAGGCAGCCTGCACGACGTGAGCCGAATGCTTTGCCACCCTGCTTGCCCCAAAATTCCAGCTGGGAGGACCTAAGGCAACGTCTGGCTTGTGACAGGACAAGGGGTGATGGTTTTAAACTGAAAGACGGGAGATTCAGACTGGATTTAAGGAGGAAATTGTTTATGCTGAGGGTGGTGAGACCCTGGCCCAGGTTGCCCAGAGAGGTGGGAGATGCCCCGTCCCTGGAACCATTCCAGGCCGGGCTGGACGGGGCTCTGAGCACCCTGAGCTGGTTGGTCCCTGCCCATGGTAGGGGGTTGGACTGGATGGCCTTGAAAAGTCCCTTCCCACCCAAACCAGTCTGTGATTCCATGAAAACCAGCACTACCAGCTTTGCTATCTCCTACAACTGTGGTGCATCCCCAGCAGCGTGGGCACAGGGCGAGGGAGGGGATTCTGACCCTCTGCCCCGCTCTGCTCAGACCCCTCCGGGAGTCCTGCGTCCAGTTCTGGAGCCCTCAGCACAGGACAGAGCTGGAGCTGTGGGAGCGGGGCCAGAGGAGGCCCCAGCAATGATGCGAGGGCTGGAACCCCTCTGCTGGGAGGAAAGGCTGGGAGAGCTGGGGCTGCTCAGCCTGGGGAAGAGAAGGC